AACTAGAAATAGAATTGAACTAGAACTGAACTAGATATATACTAGAACTAAACTAGAACTAAGCTAGAACTGAACTAGTAATGAACTAGAACAGAATTAGAACTAGAAATATACTAGAACTAAACTAGAACTAAACTAGAACTGAACTAGAGCTAAACTAGTAATGAACTAGAACAGAATTAGAACTAGAAATATACTAGAACTAAACTCGAACTGAACTAGAACTGAACTAGAACTGAACTAGAACTAAACTAGTAATGAACTAGAACAGAATTAGAACTAGAAATATACTAGAACTAAACTAGAACGGAACTAGAACGGAACTAGAACGGAACTAGAACGAAACTAGAACGGAACTAGAACGGAACTAAAACTGAACTAGAACTGAACTAGAACTTAAATAGAACTTAAATAGAACTGAACTATAACTGAACTAGTAATGAACTAGAACAGAATTAGAACTAGAAATATACTAGAACTAAACTAGAACGGAACTAGAACGGAACTAGAACGGAACTAAAACTGAACTAGAACTTAAATAGAACTTAAATAGAACTGAACTAGAACTGAACTAGTAATGAACTAGAACAGAATTAGAACTAGAAATATACTAGAACTAAACTAGAACAAAACTGAACTAGAACAGAACTAGAACAGAACTAGAACTGAACTAGAACTGAACTAGAACTGAACTAGAACTGAACTAGAACTGAACTGGAACTGAACTAGAACTGAACTAGAACTGAACTAGAACTGAACTAGAACTGAACTAGAACTGAACTAGAACTCAACTAGAACTGAATTAGAACTGAACAAAAACTAGAACTGAACTAGAACTGAACTAGAACTGAACTAGAACTGAACTAGAACTGAACTAGAACTGAACTAGAACTGAACTAGAACTGAACTAGAACTGAACTAGAACTGAACTAGAACTGAACTAGAACTGAACTAGAACTGAACTAGAACTGAACTAGAACTGAACTAGAACTGAACTAGAACTGAACTAGAACTGAACTAGAACTGAACTAGAACTGAACTAGAACTGAACTAGAACTGAACTAGAACTGAACTAGAACTGAACTAGAACTGAACTAGAACTGAACTAGAACTGAACTAGAACTGAACTAGAACTGAACTAGAACTGAACTAGAACTGAACTAGAACTGAACTAGAACTGAACTAGAACTGAACTAGAACTGAACTAGAACTGAACTAGAACTGAACTAGAACTGAACTAGAACTGAACTAGAACTGAACTAGAACTGAACTAGAACTGAACTAGAACTGAACTAGAACTGAACTAGAACTGAACTAGAACTGAACTAGAACTGAACTAGAACTGAACTAGAACTGAACTAGAACTGAACTAGAACTGAACTAGAACTTAGAACTGAACTAGAACTGAACTAGAACTGAACTAGAACTGAACTAGAACTGAACTAGAACTAGAACTGAACTAGAACTGAACTAGAACAGAACTAGAACTGAACTAAACTGAACTAGAACTGAACTAGAACTGAACTAGAACTCAACTAGAACTGAACTAGAACTGAACTAGAACTGAACTAGAACTGAACTAGAACTGAACTAGAACTGAACTAGAACTGAACTAGAACTGAACTAGAACTGAACTAGAACTGAACTAGAACTGAACTAGAACTGAACTAGAACTGAACTAGAACTGAACTAGAACTGAACTAGAACTGAACTAGAACTGAACTAGAACTGAACTAAAACTGAACTAGAACTGAACTTGAACGAAACTAGAATCGAACTAGAACATTAGTCTCTTTAATTAGTTGCCTTAATGATTATTATCCATAAATAATTTTTACGTTTAATATTGCATAAACTTCTATTAGGACCCTCTTGGTTAATATTTTTATTAAATTTATTTTTTCATTTAAAAAAGTAAATTAAAATTTAATAAAATTTTCAAATTTTATTACATTCTTTCTTCTGTAACAAATTGCAATTTTCTGATGACTATTAAGCCATTAAGTGAGTAAAATAAAATGAAAAGTGTGAGTGTTAGTTGGTGGAAAAAAGCAGACTTTACCCAGCCGATCATGGGAGTATTGTTTTACAAAAGATGAATTTATTTATGAGTTTTCCACATGAAAAACAGCTGCGTTATTTGAGGTTAGAAAATAAGCCATACATTACTTTATAATACACCATTGGTTTAGCTGGTAACTAGTGTGCCGTTTGTTGAAGTATTTTAGTGATCTGTGGAGGTGTCATAGATTGCTATTAACATTACCGGCTGCCTATATAAGTCTTTATTTGTAAATTTATTTGCAAGTGTGTGGGTGTAGATATTTTATTAAGTGTTTTACATAAAAATACTCGTAATTACAAATGTTTGCTGTTTTTTTTTTTGTGTTGCTGTTCGTCTTTCTTGTTAAAAATAAATTGAGGAAGCATTTTGTTCATTTCAATTCTATTTAACATTTTTCGTTTATTTTCTAAATATTTAAATAAAGTTGTAGTTGCTGCTGTTGCTAAATGCATTTTACAAAAACAACAACAATAGCAGTGGCAAGCCAACAACACTCATACTTGTTGTCATTGTTATTATTTAGAGAATAAACACAACAGCAGCGGTAGTAGTAGCAGCGGCAGCAATTGCTAAACAACGCCTACACATTGTGTATTTGTACAGCAGAACTGTCGCTTCAATGTCTACGATACTTGCCAAATTGGCTGTGTCATTGTTATGAGGGAATGTATGTTTTTTATATGTATGTATGTCTCATATATATTATTATTTTTCTATTTGTTTTGTTTCATTAGAGAAAAAATTTGCTGTAACATAAAGAATATTAAAATAATCTTTGAACAAAAAAAAAAGAAAACAAAAGAAATATACATATGTAATCCCTAAATAAAAGATTAGGGGCAAAGTAACTATGTCGCATTAGACTGCAACAAAATTCTAGGTATAGCACTGAAATGGATTTGAAACCAGGACTGAATCAGAACTAAACCATAACTGAATTGGAAATAGAAAAAAATAAAACTAGAACAAAACTAGAACAGGACTAGAACAAAAAAAGGATATAACTAAAACAGAACTAGAACAAAATTAGAACAGAACTAGAACAGAACTAGAGCAGAACTAGAACTGAACTAGAACTGAACTAGAACTGAACTAGAACTGAACTAGAACTGAACTAGAACTGAACTAGAACTGAACTAGAACTGAACTAGAACTGAACTAGAACTGAACTAGAACTGAACTAGAACTGAACTAGAACTGAACTAGAACTGAACTAGAACTGAACTAGAACTGAACTAGAACTGAACTAGAACTGAACTAGAACTGAACTAGAACTGAACTAGAACTGAACTAGAACTGAACTAGAACTGAACTAGAACTGAACTAGAACTGAACTAGAACTGAACTAGAACTGAACTAGAACTGAACTAGAACTGAACTAGAACTGAACTAGAACTGAACTAGAACTGAACTAGAACTGAACTAGAACTGAACTAGAACTGAACTAGAACTGAACTAGAACTGAACTAGAACTGAACTAGAACTGAACTAGAACTGAACTAGAACTGAACTAGAACTGAACTAGAACTGAACTAGAACTGAACTAGAACTGAACTAGAACTGAACTAGAACTGAACTAGAACTGAACTAGAACTGAACTAGAACTGAACTAGAACTGAACTAGAACTGAACTAGAACTGAACTAGAACTGAACTAGAACTGAACTAGAACTGAACTAGAACTGAACTAGAACTGAACTAGAACTGAACTAGAACTAGAACTGAACTAGAACTGAACTAGAACTGAACTAGAACTGAACTAGAACTAGAACTAGAACTGAACTAGAACTGAACTAGAACTGAACTAGAACTGAACCAGAACTAGAACCAGAACTAGAACTGAACTAGAACTGAACTAGAACTAGAACTGAACTAGAACTAGAACTGAACTAGAACTAGAACTGAACTAGAACTGAACTAGAACTGAACTAGAACTGTTGTAAAACTGAACTAGAGCTAAACTAGAACTGAAATAGATCTGAACTAGAACTAAACTAGAACTGAGCTAGAACTAACTTGGACCGAACTAGAACAGAACTAGAACAGAACTAGAATAGAACTAGAACAGAACTAGAACAGAACTAGAACAGAACTAGAACAGAACTAGAACAGAACTAGAACTAGAACAGAACTAGAACAGAACTAGAACTGTAGTAAAACAGAACTAGAGCTAAACTAGAACTGAAATAGATCTGAACTAGAACTGAACTAGAACTGAGCTAGAACTAACTTGGACCGAACTAGAACAGAACTAGAACAGAACTAGAACAGAACTAGAACAGAACTAGAACAGAACTAGAACAGAACTAGAACAGAACTAGAACAGAACTAGAACAGAACTAGAACAGAACTAGAACAGAACTAGAACAGAACCAGAACAGAACCAGAACTGAACTAGAACAGAACTAGAACAGAACAGAACAGAACAGAACAGAACTAGAACTAGAACTGAACTGAACTAAAACTGAACTAGAACTGAACTAGAACTGAACTAGAACTGAACTAGAACTGAACTAGATCTGAACTAGAACTGAACTAGAACTGAACTAGAACTGAATTAGAACTGAACTAGAACAGAACTAGAACTGAACTAGAACTGAACTACAACTGAACTATAACTGCTAAAACTGAACCAACTGAACTAGAACTGAAATAGAACTGTAGTAAAACTGAACTAGAACTGAACTAGAACTGAACTAGAACTGAACTAGAACTGAACTAGAACTGGACTACAACTGAACTACAACTGAACTACAACTGAACTAGAAGTGTACCAAAACTGAACTAGAAATGAAGTAGAAATAGAACTGAATGAGAACTAAAACCGAACTAAAGGCAACCCTGGTAGCTCTTGATTCTTTGTTGTTTCAAATTCACACAATAACTTCTCAGACTTAAACTCTAGAAAATAAACAAAAACTGAAAGTAAATCTTACCTGTCAGAAGATTCTGATGAATCATAACGATCGGTGCAACGTTTCTTTTTATTATGTTGTTGTTGTTGAAGATGATGCTGATGGTGATGATGATTATGATGGAGATGCGTTTGATCTCCAGCTAAACAAGCAGGTTTTAAAAGAGCAGCTGCTGCAACTCCGGCTGCTAAAGATGATAAAGACGACGATGCTGATGATGATGTTGACGACGATAATGATGTTAAGGATGTTGAAGACAATAAATTTCCTAAAACTTTTGATGAAGACGACAAAGCAGACTTTTTTGTTGCATTTTGTTGAGATCTTTTAAGGGATTGTGGTAATGTTTGAAAATCCCGGGAATTAAATAAATTTGTTTGACTGTTATGACGTTTATTAGACGCAACAATACCAAGACCACAAGAGGACAATAATGAACTCTGGCTGGCGGGCAAAGAAGGTGGATAAAATTCAGGCTTTTCTAGGGCCGACACTAATGATGATGATGATGATGAAGTTGTTATAGGAATTTTATTAAAATTTTCTGCTGTATTGTCTATTATTTCATGCTTTGGTATATCTTCTAAGGTTTTAGATGTTTTTAAAGTTGCCACCTTATTGACACTGTTATGATCTTTACTATTTTTTAATTGATCAAATAATGAGAGTCCACTATTGTCTAAAGATTCTTTAGATTCTTTATTTATTTCCTGGGAAGAGCTCATTTTTATTTGGAGTGGGGGGCAGGTGGTTAGAGGAATTTTTTTTTTAAGATTTTTTTTTTTAATTTTTCTTAATTTATTGTTTTGCAAAACATTTTTATATAAAAAATAATTTTGTTTTTTTCTTTAGAAAGTAAAATTTTAGCACTTTTTTTGGTAAAATTTTGAGCACTTTTCACTTTTTTAAACAATTATTAAAAAATTTCATTAAATTTTCACATTTTTCACAAAAACTCTTTGAATTTGTTGTTAATTTTCTGTATTTTTCTTAGATTTTTTTCTAATTTTGTTTAATTTTTATTAAAAACTCATTTGTATATCCAAATTTTTATGCATTTAGTTTTCATGGAACTTGATAGTCGAGATTTATCTGAAATTAAAAAAAAAATTATATTAAAATATAAATTTTATTCCAAATTTTCCTTAAAAAATATTTTTTTTTCAAATTTTAAAAGAAATTTTGTTATAAAGGGACTTAAGTTTAACCTCAAGGGGTCGTAGGGGGCAAGACAAAGTGAGCCGATCTGTCTAAAACCTAGTTCTATCATAAAATACAATCTTAACGTTCACAAACTGACAGTAAAGTTATTCAAATTACTCATAGAGGGCGCCAAAGTTTAAAAAATCACATAGAGGGCGCTTTAATAATGTCAAAGTTCATTTTCTTCTTCATCTTTCTTTTTCTATCTTTTTTTCCTTTCTTTAATGAAATTTAACTCATTATCTTTCCTTTATTCTTATATTTTAAAGTAAAATCTTACAACAAATTCAACAAATTATATAGTATTAGGTCAACACGCTTAAAGTGCATTTCGTGCCGTAAGTAACAACAACAGCAACAACATTAGTATACTAGTGGCAACGTCAGCTTTTATTTCCGGCGAAGCGAAGCAACAACAACACCAACAGCAACATTCATTGTAATACCGAAAAAAAAATGCAGCAATAGCAACAAAATAATCAACATTCGTGTTATTTTCTTAGTTTTTTTTTTTTTCAAACATTTGAGTGTGTGAAGTTATTTAAGTTTTTTTTTTTTTGTTGCTGTTGCTTTTGCTGATATTTATGTTTGTTGCTTTATAGAAATTATGCGTTTTTTTTCTTGCTTTTGAACACAGCAACAACACAATGTTTCGTAACCGGTTTCAAATGCACAGCAATAATTTTTTTTCTTGAACAACAGCAAAATTTATACTTTTTTTTACAAAACCAAAAAAAAAAAAAAAAACAAACAAATACAATATTGTTGCTTGCGGGCCTGGTTCAGGTATGCGAAATGTATGAAAAATATATCAAATTGTAGTAATGGAAATGTTTGGAACTTTATATTTTAACAAGTTTAAAAAAAAAAAAAATTTCAATAGTTTAGACTATAGACTTATCCACTATTCTATAGTCCACACTATCCACTATTCTATAGTTCAGACTATAGAACATTCTATAGTCCAGACTATAGACTACTCAATAGTCCAGACTATAGACTATTCTATAGTCTAATCTATAGACTATTCTATAGTCTAAACTATAGACTATTCTATAGTCTAAACTATAGACTATTCTATAGTCTAAACTACAGACTATTCTATAGTCTAAACTATAGACTATTCAAGAGTCTAGACTTTAAACTATATAATATTCTATAGTCCACACTATACTATAGACTATTCTATAGTCCAGACTATAAACTATTCTATAGTTTTATAGACTACAGACTATTCTATAGTCCAGACTATAGGCTATTCTACAGTCCAGACTATAAACTATTCTATAGTCCAGACTATAGATTATTCTATAGTCAAGACTATAGACTATTCTCTAGTACAGTCTATAGACTATTCTCTAGTGCAGACTATAAACTATTCTATAGTCAGGATTATAGACAATTCTATAGTCCAGACTACAAATTATTCTATAGTCCAGACTAGACTATAGACTGACTATTCTATAGTCCAGACTACACTATAGACTATTCTATCGTCCAGACTAGACTACAGTCTATTCAATACTTAGGACTATACTATAGACTATTCTACAGTCCAGACTATAGACTATTCTATAGTTCAGACTACAGACTATTCTATAGTGCAGAGTATAGACTATTTGATAGTACAGACTATTCTGTAGTACAGACTTTAGATTATTCTATAGTCCAGTTTATAGTCTATTCTATAGTCCAGTCTATAGACTATGCTATAGTCCACTCTATAGACTATTCCATAGTCCAGTTTAAAGTCTATTCTATAGACTATTCTATAGTCCAGTGTATAGACTGTTATATAGTCCAGTATAGACTATTCTATAGTCCAGACTGTAGACTATTCTATAGTCTATTCTATAGTCCAGTTTATAGTCTATTCTATAGTTCAGTACTATTCTTTAGTCCAGTATAGACTATTCTATAGTCAAGTCTATAGACTATTCTATAGTCCAGTCTACAGATCTATAGTCCAGTCTATAGACTGTTCTATAGTCCAGTCTGTAGACTATTCTATAGTCCAGTGTATAGACTATTTTATAGTCTGGTCTTCAGACTATTCATTAGTCCAGACTATAGACTATTCCATAGTCCAGACTGTAGACTATTCTATAGTCCAGTTTATAGACTATTCTATAGTCCAGTCTATAGACTATTCTATAGTCCAGTCTGTAGACTATTCTATAGTACAGTCTATAGACTATTCTATAGTCGAGTCTACAGACTATTCTGTAGTCCAGTCTATAGACTATTCTACAGTCCAGACTATATACTGTTCTATATTCCAGTCTATAGACTATTCTATAGTCCAGTCTATAAACTATTCTATAGTCCAGTCTATAGACTATTCTATAGTCCAGTCTGTAGACCATTCTATAGTACAGTCTACAGACTATTCTATAGTCCAGTCTGGACTATTCCATAGTCCAGTCTATATACTATTCTATAGTCCAGTCTATATACTATTCTATAGTCCAGTCTATAAATTATTCTATAATCCAGTCTGTAGACTATTCTATAGTCGAGTCTACAGACTATTCTTTAGTCCAATCTATAGACTATTCTACAGTCCAGACTATATACTGTTCTATATTCCAGTCTATAGACTATTCTATAGTCCAGTCTGTAGACTATTCTATAGTACAGTCTATAGACTATTCTATAGTCTAGTCTACAGACTATTCTACAGTCCAGACTATATACTATTCTAGTCTATAGACTATTCAATATTCCAGACTATGGACTGTTCTATACTCCAGATTATGGAATATTCTATACTCCAGACTATAGGCTTTTCTATAGTACAGACTATAGACAATTCTATAGACTATTCTATAGTCCATACTATAGATTATTCTATAGTCCAAACTATAGACTATTCTATAGTCCAGACTATATACTATTCTATAATCCAAAATATAGACAGTCTATATTCTGTTCTATAGCTCAGGCTATAGGATGTTCTATACTTTAGATTATTCTGTTCTATAGCTCAGGCTATAGTATGTTCTATACTTTAGATTATTCTGTAGTCGAGATCGATCATATAGTTGAGACTATATGTATATAGTCTGTTTTTATAAAATGTACTTTTTGGTTTCGTCTCTGAATAAAAGTACCTTTGTATTCTTTCCTGTTTGCTTAAATAGTTGTTTGCTTAAAAAGTTTGTTGCTCTAGAGTTGGGTTCTGTTGTGGTGTTGGTTGTTTGCTTATGCAGTTACTGTTGTTTAGTTGGTACAATCGTTGGTTAGGTTTTTTTTCTTCTGGTTTGGCCAAACAACACCAACAACAACGACTACCATAAAAAAAATGAAACATTAGTCATTTAAGAATTTATTGCATTTTAAGTTTAACCAACCATAATTTCATGATAAAAATCGAAAACCACTTAAACACAAAACGAAAAAAAAAATCAGTAAATAAAAGGGGAGGGGCAACAGAGGAATTCTTATAATTAACCACAATTTGTTATAAAATTATTAATAACAAATTTAATAAATTTCAAAATTTCAACTCACTTAATTTTTCTTTGTTTTAACAAAAGATTCATTTAAAATTTTCTTTATTATAACTTTTTAAATTATCAGCTTTTTTGTGTTTCCTTTTTGTTGTTTAATATTAAATAAATTATTTAATTAAATTACAATTTGTTTTGTTCTAATTTTTTCCTTCACATAATAATTAATTTTTAAAATTCTTTAATTTTTGTTTTATATTTTGGTTGTTGTTGTAGATTTATTAAATATTTATCTTTTCGAAATATTTTTATTTAAATCTTTATTTTAAAATTCTCTACACATTTTATGTTTTATTGTAGTTTAATTCTATTCACTACAAACACACACTCACACACGAAGAAAGAAACACGTTTACGCGCAAACAAAAACAAAAAATTATCTATCATTTCGTTACACTGTGCAAACTTTTAGCAATAACTAACACGACTCTTAAAAAGTTTATAAGTTAGCGACACGAATGCTAAACAAAGACTAAATATTTTTTTTTTTGCAATTTTATTGTTACTGAGAAATAAAAAAAACAAACAAAATAAAAAATATTGTTGTTGGTTCTCCCCATCTCTGCAGCAGCAGCAATAACAACCAGCAGCAAGTTGTTTTTATAAATTTGTATTCGTATCTTTTCGCCCAGAGAAATAAAAAAAAAAACAAAACCAAAACCAAAACAACCGATAGTCAACAACAACTTAAAGTTGTTGTTTTTTTTTCTTTTCAACATCGTTTCATTGTTCGTTATTGGTCGTGTTTGCTCCCCAAAAGCTTACGATTACAAGTTCGTTGATTTTGGCCTCTTAGCTAAGCAGGCACGGGAGTTTTAAATTAGACTGTCATATAGTCCAAACTATAGACTATTCTATAGTCCAAACTATAGACTATTCTATGGTCCAAACTATAGACTATTCTATAGTACATAGACTATTCTGTAGTCCAGACTATAGACTATTCTATAGTCCATAAACTATTCCGTAGTCCAGACAATAGAATATTCTAAAGTCCAAACTATAAACATTCTATAGTCCAGACTATAGACTATTCTATAGTCCAGATTATAGACTATTCCATAGTCCAGTCTATAGACTATTCTATAGTCCAGTCTATAGACTATTATATAGTCCAGACTATAGATTATTCTATAGTCCAAACAGTAGACAGTA